GTATGTCTACACATGCACATCTCTAAATATACATATCTATCAATCTACATATTATGTTTGGACATCCGTATTTATACATATTATATTTATACATATTTATACATATTTATACATATTTATACATATTTATACATATTTATACATATTTATACATATTTATACATATTGATACATATTGATACATATTGATACATATTTATACATATTTATAAATATTTATACATAATCTAAAATTATATGTGTATATATATATATAATGTATGATTATATGTAAATTTGTAGGCATAGGTACGTAAATATGAATAAGATTAACATAATGTAAATATACGTGCAGATTTAGATATGAATTGAACCATATATAGTGTGCGTGCGTGTTTACCAGATTTCCCCTGAACTCGAGTAGCAGGGAGAATCCGATTTCTTGCAGCCGCGTGGCCGAACAGACCTTCGGATGACAACAGCTACATGGGATTGTATGGCGTATTTGTCTATTAAAAATCATTGATATGTTTGTTTATTTATTGTTCATTTATTTATTAATGCGTATGTACATAGATGATAACTACACAGAAAACATTTACAATCATATATATATATATATACATACATATATTTAATCGTATATATATATATATACATACATAAATATACACACACACACATATATATATATATACATAAATGTATATATATATATACACATATATATATATACATATATATATACACACGCACATTATTTTGGTGTCATACATCCATCAAGAGATAAATAGATCGATCAAGAAATAGCTCACTTGGCAGGACGCACCTCCTCTGCATTGGCTTGGCTGGAGGGGCCACCAAAAGCACCGGTGGAGGAACAAATCCCGGTGCCCAAGTTCGGGCGGTGACAGGACGGATGGTGAGGGCGTCAAGTGTGATTTTTTTCTGCCGAGTTGTAATGTAAATAACATATGCATGTTAGGTATGTGTATATATTTGTGTACATCATTATGTAGATATTAGATCCAGTTTAGCCCATTAAGGGAAATTCCAATTATGGGCTGGAAATGACTTTCCCAAATCTTGGGAAAACCACTGTCCCACAGTGGACATCATTTTTTTTCAGCCGGCTCGAAACATTGGCAGTTGTTGTTTTTTGAGTAGTTTGATGAGGGTGCGCTCAGTGATCAATTTTTGGGAATTATTTGTTGAATACCATCTGGAAGATCCTGCGAGCATCAAAGATGATGTTCTCTAAGCAGAATTGGAACATTCCCTTCCCCCTTTTCATAAACACTCCCCCTCAGACACCCTAGTTCAACATCGAATCTGTTTGTAATGGGGAATAGAATTGTATCACATTGCATGAATGGTGAGAAAATTTTAGCATGTTTTAGCTAAGTAGATGGTTGGACCCTGTTGAACCCCATTTGTTTCTAGGGTGTTTGAGTTATGTAATTACCCATTTTAGTTGCTCAAGTCCCCATGCCCAGAGTAACCCGTTCACCAAAAAAATCGTCAGGACTTTGGCGCTCAGCAGCGGGTTTGATCTGCGGGCGGAGCGGCTCATGATGATTCAGACGGGGTAAACCCTAGGTTAGTCACATGGTTTCAGTAGGTTAGTGGTGCACAGTGCATATATATATATATATATTATATATATATTATACACATATATATATATTATATACATATATATATATATAAAACGATGTGTATATATATATATACGATATAATGTAATGATATGATATGATATGACATGATATAATATGATATGATAAAATATAATATAATATAATATAATATTATATTATATAATATATAATGTAATATAATATAATATAATATTATATATAATATAATTCATTATATTATATTATATTATATTATATTATATTACATTCTGTTATATATTATACACACACATATATATAAATATAATGTATGTATAATATATATATATATATAATATAATTATGTATATAACAATATGTATATATATAATGTGTTTAATAATAATAGTAATAATAATGATAATAATAATATATATATATATACACATTGTTTAATATATAATATCACACACACATATATATATACACATATACATTTGAATCGAAATCAATGGTGGCAAAATCATTTCGGCGGATAGTAGCCAGCTAAAGCTTTTGTTTTTCTTTCTTTGCAGGGCAACAAAGATTGGCCATGAAAAGCCTGCACAAAGCTGGCTGAGATGATGGAATTCCACGAGCAGAAACCGAGAGTGTTGCTTTGTTTTGTCTGAAAATTTGGAAAGCCCAGTTTATGGCCATTGAAAGAGCCATGATAAAGCTGAGAATTTGGGGTATCCTCAACGAATCGATTTTGAGCCGCAAGAGTTTCACCTGAAACACCAATGACACAGATGGTTCCTTCGTTGCTGGAGGTGCGAGGTGCGCGAAGTCAGTGTAATTCGAAGTCAGGCTACTGGTTCACTCTCAAGCAGAAGTCCAGCCGAAAGTCACAGATGGAACAAAGAAGCCAGAAGCAGTTGTTTTGAACTTATGTCTACTGTAATTCTTTCAGCTGATTATTGAATACTTGGAGGTGCAGTGTCACAAGGTGGAGGAAGCAGCCAAAGTTACAGGATTTACATCATGTTTCGTTATATCCCAATTTGTGGTAGATATATTTCACCATGGTCATATCCATGTTAAGCCCCAAGTTTGGATTGAATTGCTGTGGCTCGAAGGTGGTTTTTGCTTCATTGAGTGACTCTTCAGTGACTGGGGCTGCCGAACACGGCCCGCGTTCCCGCACCGTTAGCTTCACAGAATCAACAGCGGAGAGGACAGGATCGCATGCACACAGATTGCGTGCGGCTTGTTGTGATGCGAGGCACACCATCTTGCATGATTCCGGTTTGGATCCGAATTCACAAAAAAATCCCTGGGAATCCCCGGCGGATGATTTTTGCTGCTACAACTGGGCTTCCAGCTCTTTCACCTTCGAAATCAGTCTGCCAACCTTTGGGTCTGGCCAATTTTGATCTATCAGCGGATTGCACTTTGCACTCAGTTTTGACCTGAGGTGCTTAAAATTCACACCTCATGAGCCGCTTTTCGGTCGACAGTTTTCCGGATGCCTTGAAGGCAAATGGAGATAACGTGACAACGGTGACTCCGGCAGCAGGCTTCAGGAAGCCTTGGAATTGACGCTGCACCGGCAGCATGCGGACCGCGGCACTCACGTGGATCTACACGCATGGCACGATTGTGATGTGCGTGTAAGACCTGGAAAACCAAGAGTGCTTCCCCATGGTCAGTGGCACAGTGCTGAACCGACCTGTAAAAGGGTAGGTGAAATTGTCAAATACGAGGGATTGATCAATGAAAAAAAGGGATACAGGTGCCACTTGGGTGCTACTGGACTCCCATTTTTTTTTTGAGCGAGAAAGTGTTGGTTTCAGTGGCAGCGGGTTGACGGAAGTACGACTGTGTCCAAAGAACATCCGTTTCCCGACAAAAACATTGGGTTTGCTGGCTACAGACCCATCTTGAACTTCAAAACAACATTTACAGTAGAGGGTACTGTACCCCTTGCAACATCCATTTATAGATGGATTTTCCATTATAAACATTATAAACCTCCATGGGAAGCTCCATTTGGTGATTGGCGCCACGGCCATTCGAGATCTGAGAGGTTGCCCATGGGGGTTTCCATGGTACCCCAATAGCTGGATGGTGATGGAAAATCCATCTTTTTTGGATGAGAACTGGGGATACCTCTATTTCAGGAAACCAGCATATTTATACTGTATAGCAACTTGGAGATAGAGAAGTAAAATCCCATCAGACTACATGCTGAAGTTGTAGTATACGTCATCCCTGAAGTGCAACAGCGTTCTGCTTCTTTCGCACCTTGCTGTTGCTGATCTGGGGATGCGATTCAACGGATTTCCACCCCCTGATGAAATCTGCTGGTACTGCTAACGGAAGTTTCATTTTTTGCCGTTTCACCTACGCTGGGTGCCAGGTATCTTTTAAACGTTGCGCGACTGTGAAATTGATATCAGAACAGGACCCCACCGAGCTAGAAGATACAATATCACCTTGGAGATGGATAACCCACCATTTTTGACTGAAGTTTCAGATGGGTTTCAGGAGAATTGCATTGACCACCAGGATCATGATATTTTGCAAACGAGGTTTCCCACTTCGATAAGCTTCACCATTATAGCGGTGTTTCCTAATTGGCATCTTTTTCGGATACCTCATGGCATGGTGACCACAGCATCACGTCCCAGCCTGAACCTGTGAAAAATAGTTTCGCTTCACTTAGGAAGTTCCAGACTTTGGATATCCAGAATCTTGCCAGAAAAACCGTGGATCTGAATATTATTGAACTGGCTGCCAGTTCCTGTGTTAGATCACAAACTCTCAATATCCCCCCGTTCCACGTATTTGGGCATTTTCGACAATGCGGAATGGCAAAATCAGAATTTTCATGCAGATAGAACGATCGGTGATTTTGGGGGTCCCAAGTTGTTCGCGAGGAAGCATCGACGCATCACATGGCTTTTTCAAGTTAGCGTAGTTGAATGGCAGCAAGCTAGAACACGCTAAATATATTCACCAGCAAAAAGGTAGAATCAACACTAAATCCGATGCTAGTATATCATCCTACAAGTTATCCATAGTTATCCCGTCATACCCCATTATATCCCTCATCCTCGATGATTTCCTAGAAAGGTACACCATGAAACACTGCGAATTGACACAAGTGCGACCCAGTCACCTGAAGCGCCCAGTGTTTCACCAGCTGCAAATTCTCCAGGACAGTTCAATTTCGATTTTTTTACAGCTTCAGTCTGTTCAGTGATTCAGTGTTCATTCAGCCGGTGGACATCTCAAAGAGAGAAAACAGCAGGGATCAGATCAAGTCGGGTGAGGGACCTAGTGGAGCCACAAATGGCTGCAGTCACATGATCATGATTGATCGGAAACTCTTAAACCATCCATTTTGCGGGGTTGATCATTTGACCCATAGCCAGGGCGATGCATGAGACACCACCAGGCTGTAGCCCAACAGCAGCTTGCCAAGCAGCAATTTGCATCCACCTGCAGCTTCACGGGGCTTTTCACCCTGTTTGCAGTGGCTGTGGTCATAAAAACCAGGCTTGAAAGCAGTCAAAATCGATCGTCATGTGTGCCATGATCATAACATATACTGAGGTTCAGATATATCTGCATGTATACGCACACATACTGTGTTGAAGGATGTTCAAGCCCCCTTGGCAAGGGCTTTATAAATCCCCAATATTGATTGCGATACCTGCCATACACCACACAACACATATGACAATAGCAGATGTTCCTTAACCAATCGGACTGACCCGACTGAGTCGTCCCCTATCCCAATCCCAGCCGTGGCTCAGTGGATTCCCTCCGGTGTTTTTTGAGTTTAACAGTTGAACCCCCATTTCTGCATGGTTTGGTGGCTCAGACCTCTATGCCTTGACTCCAGGGTCTTCACTTCAGAGTCTACCCGGCAGCAATTTAACTTGCCGGGCACACATGGGTGATTCTTTAGCCAGCCACGCGTTTTTTTTTGCTTAATCTGGGGATATCCCACCCATTGCGCGATTCCATGTTTGGTTGGATACAACAATTAATCCATGATTTCTGTCGTGGTTAGTACTGTATCATCATGACATGGGCAATGTGACGAACATAAAGATCATACACAATCCACTGTAAATGCATTATTGGCGGTGGATGTGCGTCCCCATAAGAAAGTGGTTTATAGATGTTTATTTTTTGCATATATACATATTTGTGAAGAATGTTATAATATATATATTGTGCATATATATATATACATATATATATACATATATATATATACATGATCCATATATTGGGGA